AATGTATCCATATATTTTCACCACATGCGCCACCCGGCAACACGTTTGCTTCTATGAGGATAGCGACAGTTAAAGAGACGTTTTCACAGACGGGAAAATAGTAAGGAGTGTCTTTTATAATTAGCCTCCTGTGAGGACCTAAGCTGGCCTCAATGCCCTCGAAAACCAGTGGTTTATGCGAAAGATGTTAAGGCTATTTTAATTAACCTATTTTTTTCAAGGTATTTGTTTTTCTTTTGTTTTATACCAACGTCCCAGCTAAAGTTACTTGAACGGAAAAATTAGTAGGTGATTTATAAACTTACCCAATAAAATGTTTAGTTTAAGCCAACTTTGAACAGAGATTTCTGAGTCTCAGTCAAACAGAAATAACGACTGCTATTCTCGGTTCAACGGGTCTCTGAACAACCAGAACTAACTTACGTGAACCGTTTCTGATTCACATTAGCAGACCCGTATAATAGTAGGTATAAACTACCGACATTTTGGTTTCCGTTATTATGGCAACGAAGATCCAATTCGATTTCTACGTAAAAATTTCCTTTCAGGAGGACTATTATGCACATAAAGCAACACTCAAAGCTAGAATAAATGGATTTTAAGTTTTTCCATTTGTGGTGAAGGGTAGAAGGTTACTTATCGAATATAAATTCTACATGGAACACGTACCACACGCCGTTCTCTCACGCCGTTTTTTATCATAAATGCCATATCTCATCTAGATTTGATACAAAAAAATATCCAAAAAACCAAGGGTTTGAATTACACAATTTTGTTGGAAACAAAAAATATAACCATTACAAGTTTCTCCAGTGTCGAAATTAGAGGTTATAGCTCTGGCTGCGCAGTACTACCCCTTTCTATTTATTTGTCAGTTACATATGCTATGCATTGGTCGTAAAATCGCAAATCTCAACGGTTTTCGATGCAAACATCTTCGTTCCATTAATTTTCGATTTTTCCTTCTCAGCATATCGTCCCTTACGCTTTTTCTTTTTTCCAACAATATGTGACCCCAAAAGTCAGCTATGGTGACTCTCTTATACAGACAGATGCCCCCCACAACCCTAACTTACATGCTGAGATCATACCCTATAAGATCCTTCCTAGCACTGGTCGCGAAATCGCGTTCTGCTGCTTTCGCTGCTGCTTCTACAGGCGCACTTTTCCTGGGAGGTAGCGGAAAGCTCTTGTTCTCCTCTCATCCACTCTGTACGGCCCGCTCCGCATCAAGCTTGCCGAACATTGAGAGCCTTCTGCTTTCTCGCTCTCTTCAGTTATCGAATCCGACACACATTCGTTTTTCAAGTTAGAGCGCAGCCTGACTAGCCTAGCCTGGTTAGGTCAATGGACTACTGGCGATGCTAATTCCCGCATCTACTGTAGCCGTGAAGGTCGCGTACGTTCTGAGTGTAGGACAGCGCCTGAAACTATTCGAGGAGCGCAAAGGTACTGAAACGGAAACCTCCACTAGTCTCGAAGCAACCTCTGCCCCTATTTTAAGTCTGTGCTCTCTACCTTTGCTTAATGATATACTCAAATTTCCAAAACAGAGGAAAATGGCAACGAAGGCAATGCCCCCTTCTTTCCCCTGTATGTCCTTCCTACTTGCCTAAATAGAAGTAGCTGTCGCTATCCTTATATGCTTCGTGTACTCTCTGTAAGTTTGAGCAAATTAAGTGGGCGTACAGCCAGTTGCTTTTAGCAGAACATGCGTAATTGATTCGCTTGGACGTGACCATCGCATTAACAGCAGAACGCGTATGAAGGGTGATAAGGTATGAATCTACATTGATTCCCTGCAGATGACGCAACATGGCCGCGCACGAATGTTCGAGTGCTGTTTGAGCTAGCACCTCGCATGTGTCCGATAATGTCTGGCCTTCACAAAGCACTTCGTTATTAAGATTTACCTGCGCTTAGAAAAAAGTACATCCGTCAAGTATGATAAACAATGCAGAGGGTTCTAGGGAAGCGGGGATTCATCTAGTTAAGATATCTGTGTTGTTGCAGCTGGTTAAGCAATAATTTTTTGTTGGTCTGTCGACAATCAATGAGCGTACCAAGTATTCAGTCATTCTGTTGGTGCTCTTTAGTGGCATTTTAAACATTTATCAGTTGTACATGGTAATTCCAAAGCCATGGGCTACCGCTCGAGACCTACGAGAAACAAATGTTGTTTTTTTGCACTTGAATGTTATGACGATTGTTATTATTTCTTCGCACAGATTCACATTACATAATATAAACAAGTTCAATCTCTAACTTAATATAATTTTTATGACGACTAATCCCGTAATTCGTTCAGCAACTTTTCAGCTTGGAATATGTTATCTACTTTAGACACGGAAACGCTTTTTGTGCCAACTAACTTCGATTATCCGAAAATATCTCATAAATCGCCCGATGTTGGTTCGCCACTGTTACACAATAGTTTCTGATTATAAAACAACCATAAACATTTAAATTTCTCAAGTTGTGGTCGACTCACACATCCGAGGATATAAAGTACTTTGAAAATGTCATTGGCTAAAATGAAGATAATGGCCTTCACGAGCCAATCCACACGAGCAAGAATACAGGTCCCACACAGAGGTGCCATTACCAATTCGAAACACAGTATACAGTTGTGACTGATCAGAAGCTACGATACACTCCTACATAATGTCGACACAGGTTTGTCGGATTAGATGTGGGATCTAATTATGATATTTTTGCAAAATTTGCACCCACACCAGCAGCTGTCTGGCTTGACCATCAGCTGATCGACAGCTTAAACGTAAGAGACGAACATATACGAGATATGGTAGCATAATAACGAAACGACATGTGTTTTAGTATCGCTTTCGTTCAGATAAGTCGAATTTATAGGTATCCGTGCGACATTTCCGAGGCACGACTGAGTATTTTGTAACCGGCACCTTGATGAAGATGTATGAACGGCAGGCGATTTTTCGATTAGCAACGACGCTATAACAGCGAACAGACGTTCTGGGGGCTTAAATTTCTACCTTTTTTCTCGTATAAGTTTTGGCGAGACTCACTGATGCCTATCTTCACAGACGTAGTTCTTTCTGTAAACAAGCATCAGTGAGTCTCGCCAAAACTCGTACTTACTAGAAAACAACATCATACCTCAAGTACATGAAATATCAGGTGATCTTGTTGAATTAAGTTAATCATAATTAAGAACTACATGGCTTCTATTATGAAGTTACAGATTTATACTTTGTCGTTAACGCAGCTTTCATCGCATATCGATACTAGTACCACTACATACGGGACGTTCCGAAAGAAGCGGCGACCTTTCTGTTGTCTGTAACCGCGCGTCACGGAAGTTCGTATTCGTAACAGATTAGGGCCCGCACGTCTAAACGAATGGATTACGACCATAGAAGATTAAAGCAAACAGGGTCATAGCAAAGGCACCACCAACATTCACCTCTACAATATAGATATAGTTTTATTTACTAAACAAATTCCCTTTATTGATAGGAGGCCATCAAAAGCTGGCCACATTGATTTACTTAGATCGTTTACCTGAATAGATAATACGTTCCCTAGTTGTCGACCGGAACTGGTTAACGAATGTTAACTTTGTTTTGGGTTTTGCTGTTCTCCGCTAGTACGTGCTACTTGTCCCGGTCGGTGAAAATCAAGCTCCATGCGTTTGTATTCAAAGGATCGTACGTTAAGCCTTGCCTTGCCTTGCCTGGCCATTATTAAGCTAAATTTTGATAACCTTATTCAGCTTCAATAATCTATAACCGGACGAAATCCTATAGATTTAGTGGGTCACTGAACGATGGGAAACCTGCAAATAAATGATAAGGGAAACCAGTTCATGTGACTAAATAATTGCGCGCGTTAGCCGGTCTTTATCTTCATATGGCACGGAATTGAGGTTTAGAATATTTCTTGTATGACCGACACGTCGGTACCGCTCTAGTGTATTTATTCGAGCATCATTTGCCAAATATTTGTTTTACCACATGTTGCCACATGTTCAATGTCTCGCCTATGTAACTTTAAAAAAAAAAATGTATATATAGCAAATCTGGCTCATTTTAAAAAGAATTCGATCGTCTGCAAAACATATGCAGCAACTATAACCCACTCAATGGTCACTGTGTCATTTTTCGCCTTCCAAGGCCCACTTGGACCCCTTCACCTTCCATATATTTGGTTGCGTAACACCCAATGTAATAATACCCAACCAACGCTTGCGTTTCCATCCCTCGATTGTGCCCTTTGAAAACAGCTTACCATTAGGGACAACGTTAAGTAGGCTTAATCTTCTCGACAGTCAGTTTTCAGTAGATCATCTTTCTTAATGGCACACCTACAAAAACCCTAGTTCTATAGCTGGATGCTGCATCTTTCTGGAAAGTCCGATAAACGCTTTCCACAGGTGTAAGGTTAAAAGCAAATACTTTCGGAACACTTGATTATTGGCCGAGTGCTTTCCAAACTTCCTCGGTTGTTACTGGCAGTATTCCAATCGATATGATAAGTCTTCGAAAAGATCACATCAAAGTGAGGAAAGAAATATCGGCGCAATACACTATAAGCCAACTCTCCTGGCCTGCTAAAGCACCGGACAAGAACGGCCTTTAAGAAGGTCAGCTGCTCGCGATTGTTTACATATCGCCGAAAACTGACAAACAACAGGCCCCTATCAATGGTCATCAACTTCGGCAATTCATACTATTGCAGGAACCGGCATATTTTATGTAAACAGCACCAGCCAGAGTTCGTTAGGCCTTATAGTTAGCCTAATGTTGCATAACGGCAGCAATATGACCTGAAAAGGCATGTACACACCCGTTATAGTTATCTGACGGTTGAACGATGGCCCTTGCCACAAAGTTCTGTAGGCCAGAACCTTTACGGCATAGGCTGTTCCCTTTTGCGCTGTACTCTTTCTTCTGCTAGTCACGTGACGGACCAAATGGGGAGGGCAGCTAGGTGCGTTCCTCCATCCACCGAATAATTCTTACCTGCTCGCTGCTGCTCATGTTGACGATCGTTGTGCTGATTGTTGTTGTTGTTGTTGTTGTTGTTAACAGGGTACTTTGTTTTCTTCTTCTGGAACTTGTTGTCGTCGCTAAATACAGCTCTGACCTGAGCGTTACCAACTGAACGGTGACCGACCCCAAACAGGCGATGCAGGGCCAGTACGAAAGCGCTCTTCTAACTGACGTAGGAATTCGTAGCAGCGCTGGGATCGTGATCACTTGTGGCGGGCACAGCTAGTATCCTTAAAATCAAAATGGTCAGACAAAAACAATGCGCACTCGTTACACTGCTTCGAATACAAGGACGCAGAGAATCACAAAGGAGAAGGAGGAAGTTTGTTTCAAGACGTACTCCAAAAGCGTCCGCTCTTTACTTTCTTTCCCTCTTGCGTTTGGATCGCCTTCATACGCGCGACGCCAAAAAGCACTGCAATGGTTGGAAGAGGACGGAGTGTACCGACTTTCAGCATATGATGAAATATGATGAAAATCGACAATGAGTGACGGCGGGCGTTACTGATCTAGCAGCCACTGTGTGTGCCTCAATCAGAGAAACACACGACAAGTTATTATGTTTTTTTTTTTTTAATATTCGACGCCGTCTCCACTTCCCGCGGCGTGTTTCTTGTTATCGACGCTGTCGATGACACAAGTACCACTTGAGCGACAAGAGCAATTAACAAACAAACGTACCACCAGCACACGTTCGAACTTTTAAAAGTAATAAATGATGGAGTGGAAATAGCGGGGTAGGCGTAGTGACGAAGGTATTGATGTTGCTATAGATGGAGCTAACGGCAGCTTCGTTAGCAGCGACAGAAACGACAGTTTCGGTGACGCCGTTGAAAATGAAGCTAACAAACTGTGCGAAATCGCTGACTGTTGCAACTTTTCATGCCAGGCTTTTTCTTCGCGCTGGTCGTCGTCTACTTTTACCTCTTCGCAGATACAGTTCGACCGAACGATCACTACCGCTGCCACCACAGCTGGTCTGACAGCTTCGGTAGAACGTCGTCAGGGATCAGAGGAAATCCGCGCGCTCTCTGGGTCTGCTGCTACTATTGAGAAGACTTCTCTACTGCACAACCAGGCCACTCACAGTTAGCTTGTCGGAACAGCTTGGCGATATGCTAGCGGTCTGTCTAAACCGAACGTCAGTCCCCTCACTGTCTCACTCTCTCCCCCTCTCGATTAAGCAAGAAGTTGGCTGGTAATGGCGGTGGCGGTAACCGTGTTGGTTGGATAGAATCGAGCGTGTGCAACGCCCGTCCAAGACACAGGGGTCCGCGCGCCGAATGGGAGAGAGCTGGGTGCGGCGGCCGTAGCGGTGGTGGAAACAGAGCAGAAGTAACAGCGCTGTGCCAGCTTCTAGCAGAGTTTGGTTGGCTGGCTTTAGGTGGCCTGGGGTGACCTGTTTCGGATACCACGGTTTCAGCTGCCTGGCCTGCTGCTTGCCATTGAGCTACCACCCTCCAATAGAGTATGCTAGCTGACGTGAGCAATCACAAAAGAGCAAAAGGGACTATGCGCAGGAGAGAACAGCTGGAAGTTGAATAAGCATTGAGACCTTTCGGCTGCACGGGAGAGAGATGCTAAGGGCAAAATGAAAAGGAGTGAGACGGCTTAAATTAAGGCGTGAGGGACATACAGAAGAGAAAAGAGAGGTGATGACAGGGACTGCTGAACAAATAGCGAACCCCCGAAAGAAATATGGAAAGAGATTGGCAGCAAGGCCGGGCGCCAGCAAAGACTGTTGTCGGTCACTGTGTTTTGGTGGTAAAATGCGTGCGCATGCGCAGAATTACGTCGCAGAGCCCTAAGACACAGGCAGAAAATACAGTCTCCGACACTGTTGAAGACCGGCATACTTGCAGGCTAACAGCTAGTCTTACATAATAACTTACCCACCCCCACACAAGCCTCATGCACACTGATACACAGCAGCAAAGAAACATGCATTCATACATTTACATACTCACGCTCTCTGCACACAACTAGGACACCCAGGAGCGGTGAGGGATGGCAAAGGGTAAAAAGACAGTAAGATGGAAAGCGCTCCGGGTTCCTTTGAAGGTGCCTCTCCTTCTTATATCGTGTGTTTGCCGACGATTCGGTCATGGCCAATATTAGGCCCAACAGAGTCGACGATTTCGTACGTTGTGTCGTCGGGCACTCCATCTATCCGTAAGGGAGACTCAGGTGCGTAAAGGGAGTTTGTGCTGTTTGCTGCTATTGCGAAAAGGAAAGGGGAGGAAAGTATACATTTTTGGCCACCTGCTAGTGAAGTGTCGTCATGGTGGGGACGACGCGAGTGGCTATGGGCCATAGGAAACTTTGTCTCCTCGGTGGGGGTAATAGAGTGTAACATAGACAAGGAAAAGCGAGTCGAGTAGTTTGACCATGGCTGCTTTCGTTGTAGGTTGTTCTCCTTACAGTTTCGAGAGAATCTCAGAGTTTTCGTCCTACACATATACTAGAACTGCTGATTCCGGCCAAACTAGCGACATCCGCAATGAGTACTTCTACAGCACTACAAAAGGATGTGGTGTCTGTTTGAGGCCGGCAGCTTGAATCGCACGGTGATATGGTCGAACGATCACTAAAACGACAGATCAGCGGGCAATCTTCAATCCGGCTCGAAAATTTTACATTATCAGGGCAATCACTAGGCAACCCCCACTTTCCGGACGACAAAACCTTTCTTAGATTCACTTCTTGCAAAGTCTTCGGCTAAGTCACCAACTGGGTTGCTGGGATCTCAGCCGCTGGTGATGAGGCCGAAAGAGGACTTCCGCCTATGCCAAGGTCCTTTCTTACCTTTCTCCCGTTGAGTAGCCGGTTACCGCCGCCGGCCAGTGTAGTGACAATGATTTTGCCAGGCTGAGCGGATTAACTCCATGACTAACAAGGGCACGATACAACTGCTTTTACTGCTGTTTCGACTAAATGGCACATGGTCGGCGGAATGCCTAAATCAAGAAGGAGCGCTACTGGGCAACCACCTGGATCTGAAATAGACATTTAAAGTTGTATTTAACACGTAACATCAAGCACACGCGACGTCGGCACGATTAGCGCGAAAGGCCATGGGAAGACAGAGCAGGATTACGCAGGAGGACACTTGATTATTAGTATTATAAATAGTATTTAATTATTCGGCAGGGAAGAAGCGGATCTTTTTTAGAGATTCTGATAAAATTCAGGCTATCTTCTGTTCTGTTATATTTGACAGATTTCGACATAATTCCTTTGTTTGTTATTGGCGACTTGAACTGGCATCTAAAGTTTACTCGTGTCAAATAGGGGGTTGTCCAATAGAAACTTTGCTTAACACAGCGAGCAGTTAAGCACACAGCAGTTACCGAAAAGGACAGGTAATTAAACCTAGTTTATAGGAAAACATTCTTTCCCATCTCTAAGGGGAAGGTCGCACATTTTCATTTTGTCTATACATATAATAGCAACTCTCTGAACCTATATCATGAACTTTAATGACTTGAAACTGATCACTGAATATTAGCTGGGGATCGAGCTTCAGGGTTGTATTAGTGTCAGGCCTTACTTCCCGCCTATTCCGTCACGTTGCTGTTTTATACGTTCGTTGTAGGAAAACCAGATACGGTTCCCAGACAATTGGTCGGAGTAAATATGACATAATTCACATTGGGCTGACATTTCACGTTGTTAACGTGCTTTTCGCCGGGGGTTTGGAAGGGAGGCCGAAATGGGTCCTGTTACGCCATGAACTTTTTCCTGAACGAACCCCGTAGTAATACCTCACGGTTCAGATCCGGGCGATTCAATGCACAAAGAGCAAAAACGCACGACAGTCAACCGATTTCGATTACTATATGGGACAGCGGCGATTTTACATGACTAAAACTGCAGGATCTTGAAAAAAACAAGCAAAACAAGCACATTTAATCAATAATCGTCCTTCATTTTTTACTATTACATATCCTGAATGTTGATCTACGTTTAAAGCACAAAACACCCTAACGTGGATTTGATGTTATTTTTGAAGTCTAGATTTTTATATCAGTAGCTAAGTGATCTCTCTAAAAAGCAGAAGACTTTGGGGTATAAATACGTCCGTTTTGTTCGATGTACTGTTTCGGCGGTGCATGAGTTTATTATGGTAAAATTATGAAAGCTTTTTTCTTTCAGTACAACCTTCTATTGTTAGAGCCGTGTTGAGTACTATAAAAATATTACGAGACCTGCTGCCGGCGCTCATTTGCGTCTTCGTTGCCATGACGGTTCAGTTTTACAATAGTAGAGATCGCGGCGCTGACAACCGTGTATCTTCGTTGACCTTGCTGACGGGTCTGGTGAAACGAAGCCAGATAGCTAATACTATCAAAGAAATTTATTTTTTTGTCGCTAAGAAAAATGCTCATCCATCACAGTCAAAAGAGTGCCGACTAGAACAATGATAATAGTAAGTAGTATAGTTTGACAGATAAGATCATCTAGACAGATCTGAATCGTGATCAAGTAAGCGTACGACATGTTCGCCGATGCATGAAACGCTTCCATCTTATAGCTGATTTGTCCAGTTAGGATTCTAAATAGTCTGCAACAACAAACAGCTTACTTTAGACTGCCGTACTGACAACGCGCCATAGCAGCTGTCTAATTGGAACCAGCGATAATCCCGTATTCATGACGCCGCTTAATAATAGCGTTTTTTTCGGCGTTTTCAGTTATCCGAATCATCTGTTTTTGGATATAGCATCGAACATTTACTTTCGTATGGAGTCTTATCGCGGTGGTTATTGCAGCGGATGCTCTATGAAACGACACGGAAATCATGGTAATTGCAATAATAGTTCTGTAACAATGTTCCTGGTTATCAATTATGGGTAGCTGTTTTTGCTGAGAATGCGTACACGAACCCAGTTATGCCGAGGAACCGAAAGCCCCCCGCAGCGGGCGGAACGGAATACAGTACTTATGGGAAGAGAAAGTACAAAGAGTCCAAAAGAGAGCGATCCAACAAAATGAGTTATTCGCTAACTCTTATTTTATGCAACTCATTTTCATCTGAACGACTAGTTCCTCCGAGGAAGTGATAATTACACATCGTAACTTTCAGATAGTCAGTGTTTCCTATAGGGGTTTATGTGGCTCTTATGGGCCACCCCCTCGTGGGGCTCGTCTCTCATGAACCTAGAAAATCATTCAGCTATTGTGTTCAATACATAAGGCACGAAAATGACAAAGTTCTTATCCTAAAAAAGCTACGATCGGTAGCGACACTATTATAGCATAGTGGATTGATCAAATTGTCGGGTCTTGGATCTGAGTAATATCAACTATCTTAGCAGATTATGCTCCGTTCCTTGCTTGTCACTGACAATAACAAACATTCATTCAAACGTGCTGATCCTACAACAGTCTCGCCGTCAAATCTCCAAGATTCGTTTACAGCGAGGCCGATCAAATGGAAGAAATTCAAAAGGTAGGCCCTAGCTTTTAGGACAAAAAAAGGAATTGTTATACATACACGGGGCGACTCTTCGTTGGTTGATTTTGGCCAAACAAGGCGACTGCTGGAACAAAGATTAAGATAGGTGTATATGGAATTACAATTCGGTGAGCTAGCTATCTGGATTCAGTCGAATTTCCGATTCTTATGGTAGTGGACTGTGTATGCAGCCATACACGGTCCAGTGGTTTGTATGCTGCTGATGGGTTCACTTCTGCACGCTTCTCTATAAAGTGTCTCAGAAGTTACGTAACTCTATAACGCCTTAGAAGCGCTAGGCAGGCCAACACCTTTCAATATCTTTCTATATTTCATATATATCACAGGCTTCTTGGACGCCATAAAGTGAAATAGCATGGGCGGATTTTACCCGATTCACCGAATGAAGGAAGGGGAAAAACACTTACCGCCGATAGGTACTCCTTTGAACGAACAAGGAATAAAGTTAGCTCTCGAAAGACCATTGGTCAACTTGCACCCGCGTGTTGCATTCTACCATGAGTGAGTTGATTATATCTGAGTTTTGTACATTTGAAGACTGAGATCATGATATGACGAATGGCGACCCAGAATCTTGGGTCCCCGCCCGGTATCGTGCTTACGCCATCTGACATACCCCTCCATTTCAGACACGTAACCGTTATATCATCGCATTTGAATGATTGTTATGCTCTAATAGTGGACTGTTTCGATGCTGCTAGTTGAGAGTTGTACTGAAATCAGATGGCAAAATCACTAGACTTTGCCGGCGACGCCATAGCTCTTAATTGGCCCGGTACATTTTTTTGAGCTTTCACCAAGCAGGATAGTTCGGTCTAAGAGACAGTACTTAATTTTACTTTAATTCATTAAAATCCAGGTAAGCAAAGTGTTTCGGTGTCCCATTTTTGTTACTATTTTTACCCAGTCGACATTGACTATAACTCTTTATTTACCTACTCAAATGAACTAAAATTATTACTTTATTATAGAGGAGATATTTTTACTAAGAGCGTGCGGATCTCATTCAAATGTTTGTTTTGCGCAAACCGCTAATCTATGCTGGTCACTATCGAAGAGGTACATGAGACAAGCAGAGAGTCTGCATCATACCACCAGATCGAAGAAGAGGGTGCAGTATTGGCCTTGTTACCAACTGCGTATGCCTCAAGCGTTCAGATCGAAGTTATCCCCTTAAGAGTAATCCTCTACGGATCCATGTACATTAGCCACAGTTTTTTTTGCAGTTTCTTTCAAAACAATCAAAAGCTTTGTTCTCGTTTCTCTTCGATTTAGTCAATCACTTGACGTAATTTCCTGTTAGGTGCATTTAAGGCTTCCCCGTGTATCTTGTGGACACAGGGGTTGACCAAACAAAGCCACTGAATACCCTATCGAGGTAAACAGCCCATGACTTAGCTCCCTGATTTGAGGCCTATCTACATCACGGTTGATTTCCGATGCGGCTCTTGCAGCTCACTCTGGCCTGAGCTCGGCTTTCGTGGCTAGACTCAGATGAATGCCCATTGGTCGCCGCGTCATACCCATTTACCTGCGTATAAGCAAATCTAGTTTCTCCTTGAGTGTGGTATAAATCTTCAGAAATAGTCGTTAGCGAATTTGCAATTGCAAGGATTCAATCTTTTCGACAGCCCTCGTTGCCTGCAATCTCGCCTCTAAGTGGTTTTCCACAGCGATCCGAACAACTGATATGAGATATCTAGCGATAGTGGTTAAGGAATGTACACCATGCTTTATCTATATACCCGTCCTTGCTGTGAGAGAATAAGGTTTGTTTTTGAAAATCTGTCCTGCCTGAGAATTGTTGTGATCGACTCATAGCCACAGACATACGAAATTCATCCCTGTTCGTTTTTCAGCTAAAAACATGTAGCTAACTAAAACAATCACTAAGTTTGCGATTTGAGTTTATTATAACTTCTTTAGGAACGAATGGATAAGTAAAGACAGCATATGCGTATTGTAAGTCGGCCGTTTTTCGTTTCTATGCGAAGAAGTACGTTATAACTTGAAATTATTTCAATGACCTATTTACATATTGCACTAGATATTTTGATGAACTTATTCTAACGGGATACGGCCTTTCGGCATGGCATAACTAGTAAAGTAACAACACTATATTAGGCACAAAGTTCGTGTTGACGCGTTATACAAGATGTCACTAACATTGTTGAGTTAATAGCAGAATGGCTTTGCAAGACTCCACTATCTGGCGCGAAGTTTAAATCACCAAAAAGGTAAATATAGTTCACTTTCCTGTCTCTCTGTAATTAGGTGTACGCAACAAGAGTTTTATGTGTGTCCCGACCGACGGAGGATACGTAAGGCCATACAGTCCACCACCATGCCAAGTCTTCCTCCTCTATTGTATGCTCCAATAGAAACAAAAATAGGTCTTCGGACAAGTCACATATCCCTAACGTAAGGCACGCGTAACGACTCTGGCTGGGGAACAACAAGCTACTATAAATATTTGCACGGGTTACCCAAATGAACCATTTTGTAGTATTCGTTCTCGTATCGATCGGTTTCCCCGTACCGTGCAGGACTAACCTCCCAGTATATTTGTACGAAATTAATTTACAGCTTCATCGATTATTTTCACATTAATTATGTACTACATATGCGTCTAGTTTCTCGTGTGCCGTCCTCTTTTTGGGCATGGTAATTCTATATAGCGGCTTCATGCGTGAGCACCTTCTTCCATCGCGCTGAATCCTCGTCACTAACAGCCCATGTCCACGGCAATCCATTAAAGACTGATCTCAGCCAAATTAGACCGTTCGTTTTTCCAATGTATTTTGCTCAGTAGAGCGTTAGTCTGTCAGGACGCCCATTCATCAACATCCTGAAAAGGAAAAAACAGATATCTCATTTAGCCGTATAATTGCTCTGGATCTGCTCGGTGACCATTTTATAATATAAATCTGTAATACTTCAATGTTATGGTCGATAAGATTGTTTAAGATAGTTGTTCACACGATCATATGCTAGCAATCTATAAGCGTATCCTGTGTGTTTGCGCCCACTTTTTTCCTTTTCTCTCGATATTATATCGCTTTATTTGCTTTTCGTTCGGTACTGCTGCGACTAAGCAATTTTGCTTGGGCCACATTACGCGATAACGACGTTCTCAAATTCGTCTACATGTTGACGGTTTTCGCTCTCTGAGACCGTACGACTCTGCAATTGTAACAGCAAAAAAAATGAAGGGTGTTAAATGTATGTATTATATACCTGGCACCCTGTATGGGTTTATATAGGATTCGTAGACGACTCTTACTATATGAAAGCGGCGAACGTGCCGTTAACCGAATAGTACTGAATAATACAGATCTGTAAACAAATTGGCAATTTTTTCCGGGATCCGTCATCCGCTGCTTGCCTCAGCGAACTACATCACACTGAACAGTGGAGCGGTTCACATACATCTTTAGCCCTTAACCCAGATCAGTTCTTCCCGAGTTATGCGATATCCTGCGTGCTCATCTTATCGGATACTCTGGTACCGAAGTATATTGATGGACATACATACATACAGACGAACAAAAAACGTACCGGACAATCGCATAGGTAATCATTTAGTCTGATAACATTCTGTATACACACTTGCCCTATTTATACTCTGTGTGGATATTTTGGACACGCGGGAATTTGTATCTATAAGGCCATCGACCATACACAGCAGGGCATTAAAGCATTTGTTGGCTGTATGACACCTCCTTATTGAATGTATTGCTAAATTATTTGCTCTTTCACATTATGAAAGAGCTTGTCGATTGGATATCCTAAGCATACGGTAACAGGGTCTTTCCACTTCACAGTATCTTGCCAGTATCATAGCAATGACTATTACCGCATGGCAGTGGCCAAACAAAATGTCCCAAGTTTGAAGTTTACTGTGAGAAATTCGGTTAGAGATGTTCCAGTCTATAATCGTTCACCTCTGGCATTGGGAGAGTGACCTAAAAAAATTGAAGCTGGGGTATCCCAAGGTAAATTTGGGTAAGTTCGCCAGTAACTAACTTGTAAGGGCGATATGTCAGAGTTAACTGCGCCGTATGGTCGTAACTATTGCCTTTCACGCCACGCAACTACAAACAAAGATGCAACGTTCAGGAGACTGATGATCTTATTTTACAGAATGAAAATTAAAATGTAGAAGACAACTCTGTAAACATGCCGCTGATACTAAAATTATATATAAAAACTGAACCTGAATAAAAATATGTTACGTAGTCTAGAATTGGAGCCTAGAAGCTGATTGATTTACATACTTTGTATATCGTTCCGTTAGAACTGTTTTATATATCCTTACCATGGAAAACCTCTCTACACGCAATAAGGCTCGGCATGATTTTACTTTTGTCTATCTCATTTTCCCTCGACTTGTCGGTAATCAATTCAGGAAAATGTCTCTCTTGAAGAAAAATACCTCGTTTATTATGCGGAGAACTGGAAGGTCGTCACATGCGTGCTTTGGTCGAATTTAGGAAGACTGACCTTATGAGAACCTTTTTACAGTTTAAATACCATTAGGGAGGTTTCCTACGTCCCGCTGCCGTGTCATTTGTTTACCACTGTCTCCCACGTTGGCTTGTTGAGTTCGTGGCGTTCTACGGGATCGCGCTTGCGCAATTCCGCCCACCATTGCCAACGCCGCAGAGATAAAGCTCTGACGTCGGTTATTATCTTATTTCCATATCCAGCAAAGAGCCCGTGATGGGCGCGCGTGGGATGAAAGTACGTACGGCTGACATTTCTGGCTGTGTTTTATTTACACATTGAATGAGTATCGCTATACCAGACTTGTGTCTTTACGGTTCCGTTTGGTGTCTCTGAGGTGCGCTCCAGCGAACTGACAACAAATCAAAGCTCCACGATGTTTCATTGATCACTTCTTATCCACTAGGTGCATTTTTGAGGGCTGATCCCTTAAGTAAGTTGCTCTAGATTGTTCCGGTGCCGAAGAACCTGCTGGTGCAATGTTAGGAAACTATGTTACAGACAGAAAAAAAAGGGACGCACAACTTTATAGTTGGGTGCACGCGTATTGCTCGTATCTGGTGTCTTAGAATTGGTAATCTAGACAAAAAGGAACGAATGAGAAGTAACAAAAAAAAAATGCTCCGAGTTCATGTTCACGTTCAAAGGTTCGACATTAGAGGTACAAACGAGCTGAAACAACCAACGAGTGGTCACCTTTGCTCTACAGCGTTTCTCAGAAACGATTAGTGGTAAAACTTTTAGAATTGTCGGAAGACAAATTAGGAAAAGAAGAATATCGGAAGAAAAATATATTAGTATGGAACGAAAATTATATACGAAAATACTTCTATCATTTAATTAAAGCGCCTAGGAAAATTTTCCGTCTGTAGGTTCATCCGTGCACAAGTGTTATCTAGCGTCTATCCAGTCAATAACAATATTTTTACTTTAAACATAATTTTTTTTTATGTTGTATGCAACAATTCCTCCATATTGGTACATACGTAGTTGGTAATATGACAAAAACAATATTGAACCTACTAATTAACCAATGCTCACCAGAACGGCTCGTTGGTGTGTCGTGTAAGCAGAATAACTAAATATATAATTAAGCGATTGGTTTATACTGAATTAACTGTTTACGCTAACTAGACCGGAATCACTATCGAATTCTCTCAATAGTTCAACGAATTCGAATTACACGCTGGGTTTGTACAGGAAACCTCGTAAAAGTCTGACCTAGCTCCAAGTATTGGGTGCATTGATTTAACGTAGCACAGATGACTGAGAATAACGCGATACTGCCATCTCTATCGTACAGGGACCGTCCTGAAACCATGAACTTTGCAGGGCATGTCGACCAAAGAATGATCAATCGCCATTGAATTACCTCTTCATGGAATGCCATAATAGGTAGCCTCCGTGAGCGATGGATGCGGGATTCACCGAGAATATTCACAAAGTGATTGTCATAGACGCGGTACGTATCACCAGTACAGGTCGTCTCGAAAAATCGCTCGCCGGATATGATATCGCAGTAGAAGCCTTCTAAAATATATCAATTGTAATGTTAGCCAGCTAGCCTGATCGAAGTTATCGCTGAACTGTCAACGGGCGCCATTGTTGTGCCATTTATTATCTATATCCAACAGACTGCTCAAAGTAGGTGATGCTTAACGGCTACATATAATCTTTTTACTTAGTTAATTATATTCAACTTTAACATCGCTACGAAATTGGTCCAAGGCCTGTAATCTACGCTTCAATAGACAATATTATTTATGCTGTTCGCTCATTGATTTCAAATGTCATATTCATGTATCCAAGATAATCTGCTCCGCAAAATGGATGACTTACCTTATCTTGCATCTAGGTAACTTGTGTTAACGTTATATTAACCTTGGTGTATCAGCAAGTTATCTATCTACTAAATGTGGATCTCTTAGGGAGCCCTTGGTGGTTTCCAATAGTTTTACTATTGGACATCTCAAAGCCCTCGATAATCGAACTATTGAATTATACTCCGGCAGCTCATAGCTGAGCTGCACAGACGCTAATTTCAATGTAACGTATTTAGGAGAATATCTGCAAGCAGCAGAAGACCAGTCGGACCCGCTAAATCCTTTCGGGCATACCTGAGTTTATCTGTAGGTCAAATAAGTGACCTGCCAAACCTTATATCTTTCCTGTTTTTTTCTATTCGCCACATTTCCATACAGCCCGGGCGAAGTTTGTTCAGCCTTCGTTCGAAAGCCGCTTTCGTACTCGTGTTTATATACAAAGCAGCTTTTTAGGCCGTAAAAAATCATAGCAATCAATAGACCAGACATCAGCTGTGCGTTCCAGCTTCCGGGGAGGGTACTTGGGCTCCTTCTCTTACTGGCTTGAGATAAACCGACATCTCTCGAGTTCATACGTGGTCGACGTAAGGAGTCGGCCAATCAGACGGTTATCCTTACTCTTTTCTAAGCTGAGTGTCAGACTTAACGGCTCACAACCATCGGTCATTGAATAATCCTGACCCGAAATTGTAACCGTCTTTAATTTTTCCTGAGGATCTCAAATGCTTGCTCTCATTCTAAAAATAATTTTCCACGAATTCAGGAACCAGTGATGCCCACCGTTCTCTAAATATCTTGACCGTCTGTTTCATCCACACCTGTCCATAGCAGCAATAACGTGCGATGTGGGATACTGACTTCAGCGATGCTTCTTTGGAAGCCTTGTGCGTTCCTAGCTGAGTGGTCATTGGTCCCCTTCTGATGGCTGACAGATTAGTCACGCTTGCCCTCGGCCGACTGCACGCAATCGAGAAATCTTTGCATGTACAGGACCAACTCTCAATTAAGGCGGCTTCGTCGTCCTAGAAGGGGACGGGCAAGTGTGCTTAGTCAATCGTGCATGCCGTGCATTGCACGTCCCTTTTGGCACCCAAGTCGCCCCCCCCCCCCCCCCCTCCCTTCTAACGCTAGTGTCGCTCGGCCAATCGCTCTCTGAGCCCACTTCTTCGCTCTTGTACGCTTTTGTAGTGCAGCTTATACGCACGTGGACCGCGTCCGGTAGCTGTGGCATGGTCGTTGTTTGTGTAAATTGTCCTGGGCAATCCACATGTTTGTGTACCGCGATTGACAAGGCGTCGCGTTATATCCTCGCTTAATGATGTATGACTGTTAGACAGCAGGATTGCGAAGCTTAACCGTATAAGTGTGGAAGTTACAAACAAATAGATCATGCTTTGACAACGTTATTAGAAAAAAAGTGGTGTTATAAGGGTGATATGCTGATTCTGCACTTTAGAGTCTCATAACAATAGCAAAGTTTAGGAAAAGCTCAATCATTCAGCTTGCTAGATCTCTCTACCAAGTGCTCTATTCCTCATAAGATGAGCTCTATATACATTTACACAAAGCAATCTATAATTTACAAACAGAAATCGACGTGTGCTGAATGAAAGCACTGAGGTGGCCCTTTCTAACATACCTCGTAGGGTGGTATTAAAGTCCCCTCGGGCAGCCTTCTCGCCAGTGGCTAATGCTACAAATGATCTTCCTTTTCTCGCAAACGATATTATCGTATCATCGTCGTCCAGCCGAACCTGAAACAAAAATATCGCGCTTTCTGTGCGATTGTGTATTAAACAGTTGTATATACTGGGCGGTACCGTTTACATGTGCTAAAGTACAAACGAGAAGAATATGGCAAAGATAAGAGGAGACAAGGAACAAATCAAATACAGACGTTATCGAGAGACTAACGTATGCGTGTATAGAAAGACCTGATGCAGCTCATTGGCACACAGCAGCACAAGAAAGCGTTCGAATTCAATATATGGCCGCAGTATCGATTAGTTTGAAGATGGATTGGATGATTTGAATGAGAGATTTTAATGTTTCATAGAATTGTCATACCGAAGAACGAACGGGCGACGGTCGACTACTAAAACCAATGGAACGGAATTGCCCTGTAGTATTCGAAGCCTCATGAGTCACGAACAGCCTAGACAGCAATGAACTTATTAACACACTAAATCAATTCTCACGTTATAGCGTGTTGTTACGTTTGCAACACTATTGCTGCCAACGGTTTACGAAATCGACTTCGAAATTTCCTAGGTTTTTTATCTTAGTAATATGTTAGTCCCAAATATTGCAAAATTGCACACAACTTCGCATCGTTACCTATTCGCAAATGTACAATTTAATCAAGAGCTGTATTTAATTTTTTTTTGATCGAGCTTTAGGCAAGCGGCAAAATATGATCACGCTAAATGCCCCGACCGTGTCATTTTTTAGTCGATACGCGTAAATAGAGCAAACATCTCATGAACGTTTTCTGGCTATCTACAAACGCTTTGAACATAAATTTTCCATGCTCTTTTGTATGGCCGAACGTTTTTTCGTAAGGTCTCAAGTTCTTTATCTGGCCTTTCGATGAAACCAGTTGACGTCTGAAGGTAAAGGTTCAATAACATATGAAACATATCGAACTACGTCAGCAACTCTATATCCCTAGTTCAATTACAGGTCTAAGAGGCCCATGAAAAGGGCCATCATCAATACGGGCCATATGAAGCGTCTAGAAGAGAGTGCACACTACTGTTACCCCGTTTCGCACGACGCATTGTAACACGAAGTTTCATTTTTCTAATAGGTCGATTAAATAAACAGTTACTGACTTTCCACCACACATAAATATACAGCTCACACATATAAATTTATTCTTTGCTATTAATTATTGCTTCAGCCGATCAAAGGATTCTCCTATATGATTGCCTACATCGACTTGGGGAAGTCCTTTCCTTTTCTTGCAGTCTCCCAGACCAAGCCCGTGAAACGTTTGTTTAGGCCACTACAGTGGCATTTTTGTCTAATTCCTTGGCATATGGAATATCATTCTGTTCGTTTTTTAATTGTTGACAAAAATCAGACTCGATGTTATCATCATCCCAATTGTCGTCCCACAAATTGGCCTTTCTCATAGGCTCATCAATTTTAGCGGCGCACTCTTCCGCTGGAAACTCCTCAAATTCATCATCTTCCTCAAGAAGACAAAGATCTATTTTCTTTGGAAGCGACAATGGTCCTACAGATTTCGAAGGCAATGCTTCTGCAGGCTTCGTAGTACGTGAATTTGATGCCATGCTCTTGAGCTATACACAGAATCTTAGTTCAGCAACTTCCTATTGTAACGATAACGTTCACAGAGCGTTTGCATCAAAAACTTAGCGAACGTTTTCGAGCTTGACGAAACAAAATAATACGAAGTAAGTACCACAATCGTGAAAGAACTCCGCTAGACGTACCGATGTTATCCCTAGCAGACGATCTGGACTAAGCAGGCATATCTATAAATACTAATATGGCCGAAGTGAGAAAAATTAATTACATTTCAAGAAAGTTGTATTGGCTTCGCTGGATGCACTCACTGCGACAATGATTGGTCCAAGGCAATATTGTTAGGTGTAGGATGAACATTCCTTATCTAACATAAATGCACTTTGCAGATTATTAATATAATATTTGATTGCACTTCCGTTGTATTAAACCTACGATTTCCAGAAAGCTCCATTATTCAGGTATAGTTCTATTTATATAGTTCAACTTCCTAGAAGTTACGGAGCATCTTCGAAACGCCGCCAGCTTTCTATAAGCTGGGATGTACAGACTAGCTCAACATCTTACAAATCTTGCGCATTCAACAATACATGGAGGCGGTACTGTTGCGTCTCTCTACTTACAAGTAAACACAAGAACCCTTCACTAGCTCCCTGTTAGGAAGCAACGCCGAAGTTCTTATGACTTCCTTAGATTGGTGCATTATATCTTTATTTTTTTTCCTCGACCTTCGCCCTGAAGAGCGTTAGATCTTCCGTGCCTGGAGCCTCTCTAAGTATCGCGCGAGCACGGAAGCTCTGAGGCGCGCGGTTGACCCGACAGCCACAATAGGGTATTGTATTGATCCTGATTACCACGGTTCTAGTAAAATTCGTCTTATGTCAATGTTCAAAATATTGCACTGGTGCAATATACTTTTTACTACTAGACATTAATATCAAAATAGCCATGCGTTCATTCTGACTCAAACTATTGGTGTTATCAGTAAGATAAAAACAATTCGCTCGATGAAGACGAGAACTTCTCGGCGCGTACATTTTATCCGTTCATTCAGTTGTCTTCCTACGGAACTCTATTATAAGGTTGCGGTTCTAGCAAACTAATTAGAAGTTTTCTAGGCTGCAATCTGTTCATGATACAATCTTTGTATGAGCAAATTGGCGGCAAATGCGATAGGCCGTGGCGGGAAGGACGTCATGGCAGTATTACGGAACGATAACAAGTTAGACGTCCATGAAGATTCAACGATCAGTCATACAGCCAACATCGCTACCGAAAACAATATTTGACATCAACTATCAAAGCGCTGCTATTCGTTATCGACGATACAACATAGTGTGGGACCTAATGACTATGACCGTATCCCTGCGAGCGAACGTGACAGTAACGTGAAAATGCGTTTTAAGGCGATTCTGAGTATTAAGCAGATCTCTGATTGGTATCCATTGGAAGGTTGTGACAGCTGATGTGGCTAACTTTTAATTTTTTCTATATTATCTTCCACATTTTCTGAAAAAGACACATTAGTAGATGGAAAAAAATTTTCTTTGTTAGGTAGCTTTGTTGATGTCAGTCTTTCACATTAACCGATAGATACGGAAATGGATATTTGGACACAAAAACTGGCAATTAATCGAATGCGATAGCTTCTTCGTTTGAAGGTTTTTTTTTATTTTTATTTTTTTTTTTTTTTCGTATGTATATATATAGGTTTATAGGGCGGAGTGTATTTTGGTATCAGTCAAAAGTTATTGATGAATTAAGTCAAACTGTAGCACATGTTCGTAAACTTATTTTTTAATTTTTGATTTATATAACATTTGATATATAAGAGGGAGTTCAAAATAAATAAAAATGTAATAAATGTATATCGATACTGACAAAAATAGTTAAGTAAATATTGTAAAACCCTAGTGGTCGCAATTGGTCTTTGTATGTAACGGTGGGATTCTGAGTATTTTTTTCAAATTAATGTTAATCAAAAAATTATACCGGCAAATGAAAAGTGGATTTTTTTTAATCCAAAAACGACTAAAATAACATAACGAAAGATGAAAAATATTGAGTTCGGTAACGTCAATACATCAACCAAAACATGAAATTGTCGTGAAGTGTTTCTTTATATCTTCGTTTAGAGCAACTACCTATTATGGAAAAAAAAAAAGAAAAAAATCTTAAGCCTTAAAAGTGTTTCGGTACTAGAACCTACCTTTATTTGGTGTGAATATTTCGTGTAAATAAATGAAAAACTATTTCAACCCTTGGCAACGTTCAGCATTAATAAGTCAGCCGACCTTTTCGACCGCAACGCATATTAAAAGTCAGCTGAAGACTAATTGAAGTCACTTCCGTTTCTCAGATGTCAATTCATGGCCGGCTCTATTTGTGTGCATCCCAGAAACAGAGCCAATCACCCAACGCTACAGACGCCCCAAAATCATCTTGAGGAATTGTATCAAAAGCCCACATATCGTAATGACCAAGACAAATCGATCGAGCTCCCTGGCAGGTATACTAATGCAGACCGATGAAATAGCTACAAAAACATAGCGGAATAAATGAAAGAGGATAATTGCTGGTGTCAAGCCGGTTTCGAAAGTTCTTCTATTATTTCTACAGGATTATGTCAGGTTAAGGAAATTAATTGCACTGGCTAGTTAATGTTATATTGAAACAGTCAGCTTCACGTAATACTTCAGATTGATAGTGACGACTGATGTCGATCAACATATAATTAGGCGACTATGACGTCAACAAAATCGAAATAGCTTTCCGTTGCGACATCCTAATTCCATCCACGCCAGAGCTAATGCAGTATTACCAACCCCCCATCAGACAGACAACATTGTATCGTTGACAGCATATTAGCAGAATATGAAGCAGCTAAAAGAGAAGATTGACTATTACGACACTATCGTACTTTTTTAGCATTGTTATTTCATTGACTGTAGCCCTTAGTTTCCTGCGTGTAAAAGATTGCCAATGGTAAAATGCCTTCAAGCGTTTATACATAAAATAATGCTTATTATGCTATGCCAATGGTTTGTTTCTTAGATGTCGATGGCCGATAGAAGAGCTCGGGAACATCTGCCTTTTTGTTCATACACAAACGTGGGTACTCGTATATTAAATGTGTGCACGTGTACACCTACGAGGAAGTCGTGACGTGTTAAATGTGCTCGTGATTATGTCTGTGGCAACAAATAATTCCTATCCTTGCGTCTTACAAGATTTTCGCCCTAGCTTACTCATGTCGCTAAAGGAAGTCGCGGTAACGCCTTCGTCTAGGGGGTACAATACGGTGTCTGCATTGAAGGCAAAACAGCTACATCTGATGAGATCCACAGAAGAGCTGTGCCGTAATTCAAGGCTCATTAGCGTTGCGTTCATTGAAATTTGCACGAGACAATTGAGAAAATGCACAAACCAGCTCGGAGGGATGTAAAAGTTACTGCTAGATATCGATTGGACAACAAAACCAGAAAAGAAATAAATAAGTATCCAATATATTTTTCTTCAAAGACGTTAGTATATCAATGTGTAAAAACAACTCACGATAACGTCTAAATAATATCAATAGAAAACAATACCAGCAGCAAGAAAAGTTTCATACGTTCATGGCAGAACTTGTCCCGGCCACGTTTCGCCATTGAGGAATTCTGGATAGCGCCCCTAAACGATGTATGCACTCCCACCCACCGGAACACGATCCATCCTAAGAGTATATTTCATACACAGATATGCCTATTTTATTATTAATAATATTATCATTACCATTGTGCTATGAAATAAAGACTTAGAAATGTACCCTACGACGAGAAACTATACAAATTTCAGCAACAACCTAGACCCTTTCATACGAACCCTGTATGTACGAAGAGAGTTCGTTTAGTTATACAAGTAAAAATTGACCTGATGATTTGTTATGTAGTTCCGACTCTGTTCGGATTACAATTTTATTTGTGGGCACACTTTTTATTTAATTACAACTAATATATAATTAACTTTAATGGAGCTTATTTATATATATATATATAGGCTGTATATGCATTTAGATTAATTTTGACTTGCTCACATCTTATTCAATTCAAATAAATCAGAATATCTCTGTTAATCAAAACGCACCTTTTTCGAAACGACAGGCAGCGTATCAAAATCAGTTGACGATGGAGGGCCCAGTTCTGCAGGATTAATTCCCAGCGCGGGGGGTTTTTCAAGTGCCCATCCTTTGATGTGTGAACAAAAGTGTTAGACATTGTTAGTTAAGAGGGAACCGTTTATTTTTTAGTAGTATTTCTTTAGCAGGGCTAGTATTTTTAAAACCAGACCAACGAATGCAACAGAAAGTAGAGAGCTTTCTTTGCTTCTTCGTATATAAGCTTTTTTTGCATACGTATACGTATCTGCAATGGTGTAGCTTTGGTGCTCCGAGTTCGAATCGGATTTGAACAGTGATCGTTACAAGAGAGGCAAGATGCGATGCATTGCATTGGCGAACAAACAATTTGTAAGTTGCTTGGTTTTTTTAGCGTACCACTTATGCATGCAGCTGTCTGATTAACTGAATTAAGACAAACTAACTAAATTTCAATTAGTAGGTTGGTATTTTAACTTAAATCTACATTAGGATGTATTAGATGGCGGCAGAAGGAGATAGGAAGTTATTGCCGACCAGGATATGAGCGAAAAAACCCCATTTGCCGGAAGGCAACGGACTGATGTCGTTCTTTCCGTACCGTCCTGTAGCTGATACACTTCAACCACTTAGTAGTGATACCGATGAAAAAATACAAATATGAAACTTCGATGTCCTGGAGGATGAAGGCGTTGGGGGAAAATATTGAGTTGCAACCCCTAGCGTGGCACAGCTCTTGTAAATTCTTCGCTGATGCATCACTGCTAAGTCGAAGAACAAACTTAGCACAATAGAACAGCACCGCTTTTTTTAAAGCTTCTCAAAAATCAACTTGAAACGTTTTCTACAGGGTACGGAGCTCTAGAATACATTGCAATCACCTAAGTCGAGTTAAGCACTTCAGCAGTAAGTGACATAAGTTGGTGTGTTTGCAGCCAAGCATACAAACAATGCATTTTTGTGAGGAACATAGCGATAAACTGCCTTTGGACCTTGATCACTTTCTAACGCCGGCCGAATTTAGGTTACAGGTTTAACCGATAAGCGTCAATATAGCTCTTAAATGTGAGTAACCTGTTTGAGGTAGCAAACGTTTTCCTTACAACAGTGCTGCCTTTCCCATTTCGACAACGTTGTATTCTAAGTTAAACGATATCGTGTTCGACAATACGTGTATTTCCTGCGTTCTAAAATTTAGCAACATTTTTTTGACCATCATTTTATCTGTCGGTTGGTCATCGTCTGGACCTTCTCCACAGTCTCAAAATGATTGGCTGCCAGCACCTATGTCGTCTGCTGCATCCACAACGTAGGCGAACACGGCGAAACGTGGCAGGCATCAACATGGCTACCTAAGACAGACCTCCAACAAAAGCTGTCCTAGAAGCAACCTGACAAGCGGCTGGATGGGAGCTACCTCGCCAACTGCTAACAAGCAACCAGGACAATACGACGATTACGAACGGGTCGAGCATACATATGAGGCAGACTGTGAATGCTGGATTGGCGGCGTCGCCTTCAGCTTTCGTTGATCAAAAAGGAGAAACGAGTACTAAGCAGAGCAGAAGCGGCGAATCGGGCAACATGCCGTTCCTGGAAGAAGCGACGGCGAAAACCGGAAAGAGGTAAAGGCGCGCGACCACCCATACCCGCTGTCGCCTGTCACGATGAATGGCATTTGGGTGTGGAAGCATGCGTACGGAGTATGAGGTTTTGATGAAGACGGCGTCGCAGAACGATGTGAATGACGAAATATTCACGATAATGATGGGAACAACGATGAAAATGATAACGTTGGCGGTGATTACCTTCGTACAACTGGGGAGGCGCAAGGACAGGTTCTTGTTTAAATCGTAAACGTCAAACTGAAAATCACATGCTTCTGTGTGCGACGGCGGTAGCGTAAGATTACGCCGCGCTAGTTGGAACAGGGTCCTGCATACAAAGGGCAAGAGGCGGGAAGCGTACGGAAGATTCCAGCAATGAAGCATATCTTATAGGTATTCCAGTTCTCAGGGGTCGTCAGCAAGATTGACGCGGACAGCAAATCCACTTGGAGAATTTGAAGATCTTAAAGTATGAAGATAGGGTTTTAATTGGTTAAATGGTAGATAGAACAATTGCAATTTGTAAACACTCGGTAGCAAAATACGTTGTGAGCTGGATGAATTGCATGTGATGAAAAATGTATTCGGATAGAAGCGTCCCAGCAGTATGAGGTTGCAATTATGTTAGATGCGCTCAAAGAACAGGATAATAGATATGAACGTGCTATCTCTTTTAGCGAAAACAGTGCAAGGCTTTCAACAAAGGATGTTAGACATCTAAGCCCTTAAAAAAGGACCACAGGATTCATCAAATTTCCGCTGCATATTCGGAGATCATATATCTATCAATCATCCTAGAAGACAAGTAGGAATAACACTCAGCGTACGACCTCCACGGAACCAGAGTTTCCAGTTCATCCAAATCTGACGTTTTCGTGATAACGCCACTGATATAGGAAAATCTAAAAACTCATGGAGTTTCATAATTTTTCTCTTTCCATGCTACGGGAAATGAGTACCTCCTAACCAACACGATCAGAGCATTCAATGATAAAACTATTTTCTATGTATACAATAGGTTTTTGAACGATCTTCATTTCGTCTATATTGATTATGCATCCTAGGGATTATGGAATTATATGTTCTCATTTGATGTTTAACAGCTTTCTATGTATACCTGAGTAGATAACAGGAATGCCTCGTGGCAGGAACATTGTTACCATATGTATGGCTACTCTTTGCCAAAAGTTCTCTGTGAGATCCTCCCGAGCAAGGGCTCGTGTGTGGCGCGGAAGGGCAAACACCTATGGGACAAACGGGTAAAAGGATGATACTAAGAACAACCAGCTCTCATAGAAGTCTAACGCATTTTATAGATGTACCGAATGCTCATCAAGTCAATGAAAATAGCCGGGTCTTCGTGCTCTTCCAACTTACAATCTGCAGCGTTCGCAACCGTTGAACTTATTTATGAAATGACCTTATTTGCGACATCGAATCACTTAAATGCTTGGCACGTCCATCTAGCTTTGTCCGCTCATACCACACAGAAATGTTTCTAATGATCTATCCAGATACAATGCCGACTTGACAGGCGTAAGCACTATCGCTCGGCTTCACAAGTAATCGATGAATGTTAAGCGGGGTATGTCAGCATTTTCGGTTTCCTATTATGGAAAAACCATTTTATTCACCCAAGCTAGTTTGTAACTCTAATCCAAGAATTATCCAAAATAGGGGTATGTAATTGCTAGCTATAACTACCGTTCAATTTACGAACACTAAAACCTTTTTTAATCGGACATAGGTAAAAGGCGCCTGCACTGCGCCGATAGACACTATCAGACCTTTCGAAAGGGAACACCGTGTGCATAAGTTCAGAAGATGCGCCCTCTTTCTAGTAACTAATGAACAAAAAACGCGCAAATGCTATTAAGTGATAAAAAAGTTTACGCGCATCGTAACAAGTTCTCGTAACAAAACTCGAGAAGTTTGTTCTGATCTTAGTACAGACAGCGAACCTTACAGTGTGACTACGATCATATGCTGCCAACATGTCAAGCAAATGCTAAATGGTATGTACTTCTTTTAATTTAAAAAATATATCGAACCTGAACTCATAATCTGCAACTCTCATCTGTCAACGGGCTAAAGTGAAATTTTCAAAATATTCAATATAAGTAAACGTAATCAGTTAGGTTTGCACCTATAATGAGGATGATATTTTCCTTATAGCCCTAACCTTATCTGGCAAAGGTTTCCATAACTGCACGTCATCACTGAATGTCCGCCAGGTATCGCGTCTACGTAGGATACGCTCAATGCTTTTTGCAAGAGTAGAGTTAACAAGCGCTCCAAGCGAAGATAGACTCTGCAGTCGATCCTGTGACGCCAAAGGAGCGTCAATAATTATAAATGGAGTTAACGGCTGAGGATTATGGATCGTTGTTGACGGGAGAAGTCTGTCCAGGACTCGCTGAAATACATCGTCAAAGATGAACGGTGTTAACCAAATTAGATAAAAATGAAGCTAGTCTTTTGTCTCTGATTGTTTCAACAGCTATCCGACTTCTACACGTTATTTTAGATAGGTTGTCTTGGTTATCCCTACCGGAACGGAGAAGTTCACTGTATACTAGGATTACTCGGGGCAAAACCTGTTTCCACTTGATGCTTACCAAACCGGTCCAGTGATCGTCCTGGTTTACAATGTTGCTAGCAGGATACAATAAACGTATTCTCTGTAGCTCAAAGCTTTGACAACGTGAACTGAGTACTCTTAGAAGCTATAAATTATTTATATTACTCGGGCTATCTGTGGCACTAGCCATATCACGAGCGGGAGCAGAGTCGACCTCGAGCTTCTCGAGATATCTCAATTGTTAAAAAAAGAAACTCATTCGTAAATAGAATTCGTCCCTTGAGCCGTTAACAAACAACACCTGCCTCTGCGAGTTCATGAAGTGAAGTATGCCCATTATTTCTGTGTAAGTAACAAGTGCGTGAAGAAACAGTCTAGACTGCAATCAATTCTTATCGACTTCGTAATGTAAAGTGACTCTGTTACAAGGCTTAATATCAATATTTATCTAGTGAAAATACGCCCGACTATCAGACCCTGACTTTAGATGGATACGTACGCGTATAAGACGCGTACAACGTAATTTGCGTATTCAGAAATCATTAATGTTTCATTACAGCCTGGTTTGGCGATACTGAAAATCATCGGAGCTCGTCGCCGTCGTATCTGTGCTTCTGATTTTTCTCTTTCTTATGTTACTCTCTACTTCAGCAGCGTTTTCTACTCTATTTAATTACATGTCACCATAAGGCCATGCGCGCGCGGGAGATGGGGCTTTATAGCCCCGTTTATTGCTCGCAAACATTAACCATGCATCACTGCATAACCGGGGTTTGTTGAGATTAAGACGATCTTAAAAGAACTGATCAGTGTCTGCACGACGCACATGGTTATGGTCAGACTTTGAAACCTCAATAGTGATATCTAATATGTGATATTTTTCGAGTGAGGGCCCAACAAAGATACAGTATATTAAGTCTTTCAATTCCTCTCCTGTATTTGCGGCTATTGCTTCTTATTAGACCGTCCCTTCTAACACTAATCGTCAACAAATGTTCCGCAACAGACTAAGAGCGCTGGCGACGCACACTGGGGTGTTTTTCAGTAGCAATAACTAACTGCTCGTATTCGTTTTTCAGTTGTGTCTGAGAGACGGTTTTTACAAAGTGCAGGCAATTTTCGCCTTTAGTGCGTATCAGTGAAACTTCGAGGGTAGTCCAGGACAACATAGCAAGAGTTGGGCATACATTCCCTACAATATATGATGTGTTTTGTTGCTTAGAAACAGTATCGAGCTTTCTGCGGCTTCGAAATTCCGTTCTTAATCCCTCTTAGTGTATTAGTTGGTCGCAACGTTGATTAAGCCACCTAGTAAGTAGAACGTTTTGAAAATGCGGTAAGAGCCTAAGCGATGATAGACAACCTTGCTTCTTTCACGGCACAGTTACTCAGCCGCTATACTTCGAAAGAAATGAAGCTTTTCTATTTCAGCAACTCGCACTTGTTTAATGAGCGAGAACAGATAACTCATTACAACTATTATGCCTATTTCGAACCGCGTGTTCTGTGTGATTCCAGCTCACTTACCTCAAGATCGTAGACGTCAAGTCTGTCAGCGTACGCGACTCTGAATCCTGTTACACCCGCTAACTGAAGACGTTGCAAATAGGCCCCGAGTACGTTTTGCACGTTATCAGAGCCTAGGTCTAGGCGGAGCCATCCGCGCTCACGACACCAGAGAAGCTGCGTCTGATCGCTACAATTGAGACCGGAAGCCAAATCACTATACAACTACAGGAAATAGGGTAAAACTTCAGACAAATACTATTAATAGATAGTCTACAGGAATGTTCTATCATATCAGTAAAAGATGTTGTGTTCGAAAGCACTTTCGGAAAGCGTCTTAAAAGATAGTGAGCAGATTTATTTATACGAAACCAACAACAAGCTAACAGAGATCACCAGAGGATCGCTAGATAAGACTCAGCCGTACCATAAATGGATTCTATACAACGAACCTCCTATTAAACTCAGCAATGAATATCACCGAGACATATACTTAAACATAATAATAGTTATTATTATACTAATAGGCAAAAATTGCAATTAATTTCTTTTTCATTGCATTTAATTTTAGAGAGCATTAAAAATGCTCTTTACTCCCGAACGAAAAACGCTTTTTGCTCCGCAGGGTCTGGACGGTGCTCGGATATCGTACCTGTAATCCTCGACATTTCCAGACGGCGTGGGGCATCGCCCTGAGGGAATAAAGTCGCCCGCTTTGAAGTCTTTAAAGTGTAGGTTCTTTCCATCAAAAGCTGTGTGCGCGTAACTTTCCCGAGAAACGTTAGACGTCGTGTGACCTTTAAAACAGCAAAAATAAGCTGGATTACGCTATTTTTTTATGGGACTTTAGAGCACTATTAGTATTTTTGCTTCCATATAGGTTGCACGAGATGGATCTGGGAGCTACAGCAGTACTGAATTTCATAATGACACAAAGTAAAATCACGTGTGAGGTTATTGGGAATATACAGTGTCAACACGTTGGGGTTGCATTCGAAAACGGACAGCTAACGCTACCAAAGGTTTGCATAAATTAAATATACATCATCCTGGAAAGTGTTCTTCTTTTTCTGCTTTTCACCAGATGTTCTCACTTTTTTTTGTCAACTCCATGCCTTTTGCCTCGGATGACTCGAGATCCTATGAACATTAAAGAATGAAGAAGAACAAGAAGAAGAAGAAGAAGAAGAAGAAGAAGAAAGGACATAACCTATTCTCAATACGGTATTAATGCTTTCAGCTCAACGGCGTAGGTCTGTTCTACTGTTTTCATCGTCGCAAGCCTAAGCAAGACGACTATATATACTTTGCCGTCTGAGGCTCTCAACGATCATCTCGCGATCGTACAGATTTGCTTTGCTAGGAGTATATCATTACGCTTTCGATTAAATTTGGCTAGTCTTCAGTCCGATCGAAATGTTCGCACGTTCTCCAACGTCTAATTCTATGATCGCACAAAGCTAGTCGTTGAGTCGCCTATAAAACACGTATAGGCGGCAGGCAAAGGTCGATTTCTCCCTACTTCAGTTATCCAACTTTTAAACATGGCCCGAAAAAATATGCTACTGGTATATTGAAACAATTATTATGGTCGTTAGTTTTCTCTCGAATGTTGTCTTTTATCGTATAGAACTAAAGCCTGTTGCGTGGAAGACGTTGGCACTCCGAACAGAGCTGGGCACCGCGCAAACGCATACACATAAGCACTTAGATAATTATTTGTAAGTAAATAGTAGCCATTAACAATCAAGATAAGAGCACCCGTGTGATTGTGGTCTGTTGCACGTGACGGAAAGTCGTTACAAGGTGTGTTGAAAACCATTTTTCCTTGCAGCTTGTCACAGTTTCACGCATGCTGTTTCATGCACCGATGGTTACGATTTATTTTATATTTGTCCCGGATAAATTCATTCGGGTCCATGAAGTAACTTACCCAATACAACGTCCACGTACACCCGAATATTATTGTCGTTGCAGGTTCGCGCCATACGTTTGAACTGGCCGAATGTGCCGCTAGCGCTATCCAATTTCGTGAATGATACAGGTTGATACCTGGGTAATCAGGCGGTTGACATAGAGGTCATTATCAGGTATAATGAGATACGTTTTCTGAATGCGAAACCAATGTGCTTGGTCATCGCTACTCAATTGGTTGGATCTATTCAAATCATAAATAGTGCTTGTCGCTCCTTTTTGTCCTGCGTACGAAAGTAAAGAAGCAAGCAACGTCATTGTTCAAGGCCTATACTACGCATTTCTAATTAACTGGTCCTTAAATGAAGCACTTTACAGTATTCGAAGTATTACTAAACATTGCAAAGTTACTATAGCAAGTTTTTTTTTTTTATTTTTATTGTTACTGATGCAAATTACTAGCCGTGACGGATACCACGTATGTGCATACCAGTAAGTGTATGACTATCACGTAATAAGATCGATACCATATTGAGTTTCAAAAGAGTGGAATTTCGAGTTTTTTTTTTAACTCATAGTTACCCAAACTATAGCGATTTATTTTTAGAATATTATTCAGTCATCTAGATATATTTATGTACAGTGTACTTGCACGTATAAATCACCTTTCTGTATAATCACGATATTGAAGCACTCCATCGAGGGCGCGGCCCGTCTTAAATGCGTGGTCATTTGGTGCTGACACCTGAAAAAATATGTCGTAGAACTCGCAAGTAACGGCAACATATTCGTTCTTTATTTTATTTCTAAAATAGAATAAAGATATTATTCTTCAGGGGTGAATACAGGTACGTACTCAATCGCTGAGTGAAACCGGATTGCTGCTAATTTAAGATGATAGTCTCATTTTGTGCCTCACCTAATTTACTAATAATTAAATAATAAATACTTATTACAGAAACAAAAAATGGAGCGGGTAAGGCTTGTATCCAGTGACATTCGCTCTAAGCACATTACTCTACTTGGATAGCAAGTGATTCCTTTAAATTCCTTTAAATAAGGCCAATGCGTTATCTAGGCCCATTGTACCGAAAGGCTCTTCGATCTCGCCTCAATTACGTTCTTTTTTCTACATTTCTAAAACTTTAACATGCTTATTGGTCTATTAAAGGTATCGCAGTCCTTACTTGCGCCTCAATAGGCTAAAACTATAGTACGTCTGACGGCTGGCAAGATAGCGGTCCTTCCTTTTCGTATCGTATTCCACTGCAAGCCAGATTCTTTATAAAATTCTATGTTTCGCCTTTCTCTAATTAATCCTGTCCCCAATGATATAATCTCCAGAATGATAAACGTCAGTTCATATGAGCTTTCCTGGGTGGGTTTCGTCCGTTGCGAGAGATCGAAACCAAAGATGAGCCGTGAGTGTAGATGATCGCCGAATACAGGACACTCAGTGAGAGGAAGAAGAAGGGAAATGAGAATGCGATGCGGCGCAGGACAAAAATCCTTCTCGCGAGTAGAAATAGAACTGCATGTGTTTAGGCAAAATTGTAGTTCGCTTAGTGTTAGGACCAGGCCGAGAGAAAATGCTTTTCAACGTAATAGTAAATAATCCTTTCTAGTATCTGTATAAATGTTCAAATTGTTAACTTTAAATCAATGGCTGGACTAGACGCTTCCATCGATGAAGAGAACCATCATAGTACTTCTTATTTTGTCGGCTGAGATTTTAGGCCAAAGTAGAAAAGTGGCTCCTAATACTTTTCAGACCTGTCGATAAATCCCATGTATAAATGAAGATGCTATGATTACGGATATCGGAGCTAGGAAAACTCAATTTCATACGTCTCAGGTTTAATCACATGATACGCCAGATTTGCTCTTTCGCCTAAATAAAGGGAATACTCGAATCGATATATAGAATTAAAAAAAGAAGGCGGTATGTTATACACGTCGACAATTTGTGTCACTTTATCAGCTAAAAGATAATGAAATGTAAATGATCAACTTAATTACATCTCGGTATAAACTACAAAAAAGGCTTAAAAACTCAACAAATAAAAAAAAAAGAAAACTATTTCTAGACTATAGAAACTAGACGAAGAACTTTCTAATTTACCAGTAAAAAGTTTGTTTTTCATAATTTCAAATCAAAATTTCGTTATTTGACACACGGAAGCATAGCTTGAGCTTAAAATTTGAAAGCTTTTTGTTTGGCAGCTCTCAACATGATGAACTTTAGATTATATATAATCTATTGTTGAGAGTTATGAAACACGAATATATCGAATGTATTGTGTGTATGCACATATTAATGTAATTATTAACAACGGCAATTTGTTATTACATTGTATGTGTATCTTCCACTATTGTTGACTCATAGCGGACGGGGAGTTAATGAGGATTTTATAAAACTTAACGCGGAATACTACCGAAAATTCGAAACGTCAGAGTACGAACTGTTCAGGTATCGACCACAATCTACTCCTCTACAGCAGAGACCATATCGTGGAAATATTATACCGTCGATATGGATAGGGGCGATGTTTCCGACGACCTCTTCAGAATCACGCATAGTCAAAAAAAAAAACAGCGGAGTCATTAAATCTGCAATTTCGTGCAACCGTAATACCGACAAGATACCACTGCATAACTGACATTATGACACCAGGGGGAACCTTCTGCTTGCGCGAACGAAACGAGGCTAGCCACCGAAAGCCGTTAATTGCTTAAGCAAAGCTTGACTGTCGATTACAGGGGAGCGTGAACAAAGCACAAAAAATAACCAAGCCACAGGTATGTATATCTAGCTATGATAAGCAATGATAGAGGACGTTCTCCAACTTAATGGTATCGAACGAAAAATGGACTCGAAAAAAGTTATAATCAAGGTCAACTGTGAAAACATATCTTTGCCGATTATTTATATAAAATTTATATAAATGCATTACGTACTTAACAGCATAATCAGTGCGCTCAAACAATACAGCATAGGCTCAAGATACTGAACATGGACGAGCAAATGCCTTATTAGCTTTAGATCAGACACATGTTATTATCAAAATCCTAGCCTAAATTGAATTCTCTGGGTTTTGCAGAAATTGCTTGAGCCAGAATCGGCAACTAAACTACCTTCTCATCTTGGCTGTGGAGGAAGTCTTCTTAGCAGTTCAGTCAACAGATTCAACGAGCGTCCACAAAAAAGCAATCAGTAGCTTGCGTCACTTGGAGATTCTTATTTACAATATAAAATCTCAGCTAGAATCGAATATGGTGCGTTACTTCTTACAGTATAAAAACGATAAAATAAAAACATTGAAATGGGTGCGATGAGGCAAGTGTTGAAAATTCCATTATGAAAACTAAATATGCCGATTTTGGAAGCGAATTCGACTTTGTAGACGTGACGCCACCGACTTCAACGTCCTGCAGCTTTACCTTACAGGAGATGAGACCGATGTATGTCTTCCTGAATCCTAGCCAGGATTCTGACAGGGCTTTAAATGCGAATTACTACTGAGTCGCAGAAAGCAGACGCAGGTTTAAGAGAGAAGGTAGGCAGTTGCAACTGGAGCCGAAATGCAAAAAAAATAATTACTACTATTTTGTGTCTCTTGATTATTTTGGAAAGGCGACATCATCGCGCTGACGACATAGTCGAATGCATTATCTATGAGCCCGCCTTCATTTTGCACATATATTTGTCATATTTTTTTACTGCTCATACATTAGTACGTAGCTTGTTGTTGCTATTTCCCGTTCACCCTTGATAGATGCCATCATCCGCTTAAAACTTTGCGCTTCACAACGTCCAAAACAAAAAATAGAAGTGTGGTAAAGTTTCTCGATTATGAAAACCGCCTCACCGAGCCGTTGTCTTGCACGGAACAGAGAATGATGAAGCATATCTTTTAGCGAGCATAACAACTTAATCAGACCCTTAACTTAACCCTTTTACCACAGTCAACAGCGATAGAAGTGTATGTCTAGTTAGTGGAACTAATAACATACGTTTTCGTGGCAACAGTAGTAATAAGCAGTGACAATTTATCTTCGAATCGATATTGCGATAGACATCTAACTAGTATTACAGCTTATCAGAGGATTCAGTCGGTGAGTAAGTGGCAGTAAAATTTTCCATTGCTTTTCAACGGTGCAGCGGCTATCGGAAGTTATATGTTTGAAAATCCTATGATTACAAATTACAAAAAAATAACCTCTCGTAGACCTTTAGTGTGTATGGCTTCGTAAAATCCCTCTCTTTTCATCCGCGTTAATTATAAGTTTGTCGTTACAGTAAATCTATGTTATTTAATATTCTCTAATAATATCTCTATAATAATCTATGTTATCTAATATTCTCTATAATAATCTATGTTATTTTATATTCTCACACATAATCGTGAAGTGGAGGCAGAACTCACAAGGACTGCAGCAACCTGCGCCCTGTTAAGGTGTTCGGCGCATTCCCTTCCAACGTCTTCGTAGAGCCACTGGTCAAGGTGTACAATCGTGGTACGGGTCGAATAAAAATTCGGGGTACCCCAGAACCGCGCTAATGCCGGCGTAGTACGCTCGAGCAGAACGGCAGCCATCACAAAGATTGGTATAGGACACACGATCAGCTCGGGAGGTCGAAGGCCAGGAATGCGCATGGCGGACCTGTTGCTATAATGGTTGGCCAAATCGTCCTTTTCGCCGACGGTTACGTCTCATTGCAGGTTAACTCTTCTGTAAAAAAGGAAAATAAATTAATGTTAGTATAAATAGGAAAGAAATTAATGCTAGTAGTCCTCGTAATTATTGAAGTATCGAATTTATCCATATGCCAGTGGGTGGACGTGTATGCATCTGTGAAAGCCTGGGTCGTATAACAAAAAACGTGTTCCGTATAAGTTGTTCCTCGGACTCTGTGTGGCACACAGGACTCCTGAATTAATCATTTATTTTTATTTTCGTCATCTTTTACATCTCTTTAACGATTTACCTAATGGAACACTATAGAATAAAAGAAAAACAAAGTATCCTGCTTCAAGTTTCATTGCTATCCAGATATTCAAATGGCGTTTTCATGTAATGTAAAAATCGATTTCTGTAGATAACCATTGAAAACGTTATCTAATCGACCCACCTAGCAGGCACTGAGGATGTTGTGCTACTACGTTCATTCGGCGCATATAGAGTTCCGCTATTCGTGCCTGAAAGAAATGTACGTCACTAGATAGGAAAGTACGAAACGCTGATTGTTATGGTAGGAGCAGAGCTCAAATTGCTAGGAAGTGAAGGCATTATAAACGAGCAGAAATAAGGCTTTGGAATGATAAACGTTTCTAGTGCATTGACTAAAATGACAGTGTCAAATCCAGTTGGGCCTGCGTGCTCGGAGGCTTCCTACCTCCTAAACTCTTACTTACCTCTTAAACTAAAATGATAGTAGCTTAGTTGCTAATTCAAGCAGCCAACTTATCTTGATATTATTAATGCATTTATATCGCGTTCCTTACAGCATAATACAATTTGTAAACAATACATCGACGTTTTTTTCTTGTTTCGTACATTCTGTTCATTATACACCAGATTTCTATATAGTGTCATCGATGAGAAGACCATCGCACGGTTTTGATATTTAACAATAAGAACCCGCCAAATAATTATCGATTTCGTTTCTTGTTTCAATTTCGGTTCCAATGTTTTGTTTAATAAAATCTCACCAAAAAACTACCTCTTTTACATACATTTTTTCATCCTCTAATGAATACAAAAAACTACGAGTGACATCCATTAAAAAACCGTAATAGATAAGTTCGAGATTCAAATTTCCAACACGACGGTAAGTCTGCTATCTAGCTATTTTGCCACCAAGACAAACCAGTGGAGACGTGAACTGGCAAAGAGATAAAAATAATTACAATAGCTATCCCCAATATAGTGTAGATATTATCACCAGATAGTAATATGGCTAGTACGTTCATTTGATCTGTTTCGCTACCCTACATTTTCCGTGCAGCCGTACGTAAGTACATCTTTCCAGAAGTTACCAGCTGCGAAACTGCTGGAGCCGGCCAACATCACCGGGAGCAGCAGAACCGACGGCAGTAGCGTCGGACACACTCAGCTCACGCTTCATTTCAGTCGGATTCGCCTCTACCAATCGTCCGAATCGTCTTGCTCCTAACTATTAGTTAACTTACAAGTAGTACATTTGCCCTTTTACCACAGTCAACAGCGACAGAAGTGCATGTCTAGCTAGTGGAACTAATAACATACGTTTTCGTGGCAACAGTAGTACAAGCAGTTCCTTTTGGCGTATCATGATTTTTCGTTCCCTTCTTCTGTACCCCTTTCCTTTCTGGTTTCCTCTCTGGTTCCCTTACTCTTTCTATCTCGAAGCTACAGCCGCGCAAGGGCACGCGGCACCAAAGCAGGATCAGTTGGTTACGGTTAAAGACTGAAATGACGCCGTCGACCCGGCAGAAGCCATGTCCCGACCGATATGGCCGCCAAACGCCATCTGTTGCACCAATAGGAGCAGAATGTTTCTAGTAGGAGTCGTCGTCAAGAACCCACTCTTTCGCATCTAACTGAGGAACGCTTAGGCACTTTTACCGGCGACGCAGCATGAAGGACTTTTCATATAACAGTCATGTACATTATACGTACGAGCTACGTAGAGACCTGCCACGTAATAGACAACATCAACAACGTTTACAGAAACGGTAGCAGATACACTGCCACTAATAATAGATAACTCTGTAACAATAGTAGCAGCTTTGGACTCGTCTAATTTGAATGGCTTGTTCCTGCCACTCGTCTTGCCAAGACCGGTGACGAGACAGCGTCGGCAGTCTCCTGTCCCGGTAGCAAAATTACAGCGAACATCTGACAACGTCTGCCTGCGTGCCTTAACGGCTGCTGACTGTACCAATAGAAATCGTAGCGATAACCATCGGCAGAGTACGTAACCGCAAGGCCTGCAGTAATAGCGTAACTGAGCACTCGAAAGGCAGTGAACAACAGCTTTTTTATCGCAATGTACTAGTGTGCTAACCATAGGCAACAACAGCGTCTTGGTACGTATAGACATTCGCAGTCGGACATATTAAAGGAGGTAAGAGCACGCCTACAGAACCTTACCGACTTTATTGCTGCATATATAGTAGAAGCGCTAGCAATAATAGCAATAGAACGCGAGCGAAGTTAGCATTTCTGATTTGTCGTCTGATAATGGGCTGCTATATCGACATCCTGTGTCCTTGATTCGGAACACATATGGATCAGATAAATAGAGCGAGCCAAAAAATACGCCAATGTTATATACACAAACGAACGAACTGTGATACAAGCAAGCATATATATGATTGTTGTCGAAACACAGCCGTGGAATGGATTCGATTTTGGCTGGGGCGTTTTGCTGTCTGGCATTTAAGTCCGTTCAGTCGTTGTCCGAATTCTATTCTTTCGTTTCCGTAACTTCTTCGTTATGTCTCAGGAATTGTAGGCCCCTACGAGCGATAACTTGTTACTGAAGGTCTATTTTGGGTGGTTTAATAACGACCGCCTTTTTCGGCGGCGTTCATTTTGCCACTGCTTCATCCTGAAGTGTTTTTGCCTTCATAACAGATATGCAAGTAAATACTGAAGATGAACAGATCGCCGGCTGATTTGCCTGAAGTGTCCCCCGAAGACAGCAACCATTTTCTGTTTAAAAGAAATAGAAGACCATTCTGTCAATTCCCTGTTCTTCTTCGTGTCATCCCCAAGAACGGTTATTTCAAAGCGTGCGAAATAGTACTTTGTACGAGAGGCAGTACATGTTTTATTGCCGCCTTTTCGTCTGCAACACCAATTGCCGGAGGGCGCCTCTGGCAAGCCATTCTTATTTAATCTGACGCCATTCATAGCATTCTATAGTATCGAGAGGCGGACCAAAGTCTTTTGACAGGTACGTATTGTATATATTGTACAGATGTTAAATGAAGACACCCAAACTGTCAATAGATTTTTGCCCCACCGTATATATATGTATATACAGATATATTATCCGCGTCTATTTTTCGGTGCGGCTTCAATTGTCGCACCATTGAGCGCTTTAAATACAAGTATATGCTTTATAAAGTTGTCGTCAAATGTACATATATCGAAACTATCAACTATTATACCTATCCATCTTAGACGAACCCACTTTTCAGTACTTTGTTGTTATCAACGGGTCTATCGAATGAGTCAACTAAACATAGCACGCGGACCATTGAACCATCCAGCTAGATGACAGCCAAGCGATCCGGATCGTCCGTAATCTGTGCAGAGAGATACCCACCTACATCAGCACCGATAATAGAAATCTACAAATAACAGCTATGAGAACAATGAAGGCATGAATCTGAACCAAGTGAATCTGCATCACGGTGCTCCTTTCTGTACGTTGACGCGGTTAAATTTTTTTCCTTTGTTTGGTCAACACATGGCCGTTTTACGTATACTCTGCGAAAATAACCGAACTTGCAGTAATTTTATCGCGATTACTAGCAATTATCGTACATCTTTGAAAGAAACTATACTTAATTCGGAAGTTGCTCTGTGGGTTTAAAACGAAAGTAAATTATTTCTAAAGATTTAACGTTTTTCATTTAGATTCTTCGTGTGTCTGTACACAGTGATTCGGTCAACGGAATATTTAACTCAGTGAAGGAAATCGACGAAAGTGGTCCAATGGAATTAAAGTGGAGACGGGTTGTTTTGAAAGTCAATTTGTACTATTATGTTATGGTATTAGTAGATATTATTTCGCAAGACCAGCACCGCAAATAAAGAAACCTCAGCACTGTCAAGTTGGAAACTTCAATACATGACGTACGTTTGTATGCAGCAATGATACAGGTCAGAGGGAAAAAGTATATGTTACATCCACCCCCCGACGGCCGCTTCGATCGTAGTCACGAACGGCATTAGTAAGAGGGCAAAAAATGAATTGGCGACTTAGCCCACCGTCGAATTCGCCGCGCGCCTATTAGACATATCGATGCTGATGCAACGCTCGCTAACTCAAACCGATGCGCATTGTGATCGCTTGAGCGTCTCCTGCGCTCCGGGCAGGTTGCCCGTGGACAACTATGCTATGTCCGGCGAGCATCAGCAATCGAAACAAATGTCCTTACAGGCTTAAGCGCCGTCGCCTCAGTTGACGTACGCATATTTATTATTACTATTGTCATTATTTCGGCCTATGAATGTATAAGGTATTGCCTTAAGTATCGATCTGTTCGGCGTTACCCTCTTCTTCAGCAAACAGAAGGCAAGACATCATCAACGTTCATCCTTTTTGCAGTACATGTATCTGGGGTTTTCTTATATTATAGAATATTTGGAACGGCTACAGTGACCACTATATAGGCGTGCTAGAGAAGCAAAAAGGATGTAATTTTATTTTTTATGTATTTATGTGGTAAGCATATCGCTCCGGACGACGAATCCTGCTTGACGCGTTGGTGCGTGTATAAAATACATAGCTAAAGCATATTTCGATTGAATTTTAGAACTGAATGCTATTTGCAGTAGAAAACCTGTTTTGCTCCGGCTGTATTTTTGTTATAGGCCATCCGAATGAAATGCCTCCAAAACAAGCCATCACCGCATTGGGCCGCGAACACGTAACACAAACGCAGCCTGAATATATTTATAATCACTCGGATAATTATCGAAGCTAATTTATATAATCGTACTACCGCTATATTCACAGGAACAACGCGACCACATTGGTTCATTATAGTCATTCTCATCCCGGCCCATCTAACTCCCAGCAACAGTGTGAATTTTCCTTGCTGTGATAAAAAGTATTGATCATAGAGCACCGCAGATATCGTAACATGGGCATTAGTCTGCCATAATTCCAGGGGCCTTTACTTAACGTACACGTGTATGTCGCTGTTAGGTAGAACGTTTCCGTTAGACCAATCGCTTTATTCGAATGTGCCTGCATCGGAAACAAAGGAGGATGACGGATAGCTGCTGATTTCAAGCGCCGAAATTTCGAAAAGTTTTTTCAGGTAATTCTCGTTCAAGTTATCCATATCTATATACTACGCTGTTCTTATACGATGTGCGTCATAGTTCGTCCTTAAAGTCCTAGCTTTGCTATAAATTCTCCGAATATTCCTAGCTAAATAGCGCAATCCGAACCAGCGGACGCTTTCAGGCAGGACGGAGTCTCCGCCCGGCACTTGATTGTTTTCCCAAACACTACAAGAAACAGAATAAATAATAGCAACTCAATACGCGTATACATTTTATTACGCGCACATCTTGTCAGTCCTGTGTTGAAGATTTCAGGTTCCGAATCTAAAACTTATCCCTCTCCCGTGCTGTATACGAAGCCGATAATAACAACATGATAATATTTCCGTATCTTTCATAAAACGGAGCCACTCGTCCCCTAGCAACAGTTTTGGCATAACGAATATCAAACGGTGCCTTCTGTCCCGGTGCGGTCCAACCGAAAAGAACGGCGATATTTTTTGAAAACGGTTCGGGAACGATCCGCTTCGCTTGCATGGCTCTTTCCAGATTTCTTTGCCTGTTCTTTATTCGACGCAGGCGGCGAGTCGATCTAAAATGCTCTACTTTTTAGATCTAAATAAGGCTAGCTGTTTCTACTACCCTACTACCCACTCGTTCCAAGAGTGTTTCGCTTTTTTCCACATGTTTTCTATACTGGAACGGACGAATGGGCAAGAACTGATGGAAAATGAGAGTGGCGACAAGTGATCCCGCTAAAATCAACGCCTCACGCCGCAGACCAGCAGAGATTTCAGAGCGACTCGCTCAATCAAAAGTGGCGCACGCTCCTTTCAGAGACGTACCTCCCTTACCCTGCACTGCTTTTCAGCCTATCTCTCCACGCCTGACCTTTTCCTTCAGTCAGCATCGCTCTTAGATCGTTTGTCGGTCGCTTTTGTTGTTTCTGCTCCGACGACACTCACAACAGCTATCCCACGTCGACCAGGACCATTAGAGTGTCAGCGTCGGTGCTAAATACGTTTCGCATGCGCTGAAATAGCACTTCGGCTTACGAGGAAGGGGAAACGGTGTTAAAACGCAAAACTGCTTTTTCCACTTCCAGCTTCAGTGGCGTCGCGAATGGCCAATGGCAACGGCAGTGGTTAAGGTTCGAACGGCCCTTTGGGCTACGAAGGAAATCGGCAGCAAACGCTGGAACGAAAGCCGCAATATTTCAAATAACTGCCGCTGTTGTCTTTTAACGCCAAAAATGTATAGCTTTGTGATAAGCTGCTAGAAATGAAGCCAGTTATTTTGTAGCTCTAAAGAGCCATCTTTAAACGCTCGCCGTGATCAAATGTTGGTGGTAAAAAGTGATTGTGGAAAGAATCATATTTTTGTTTTCGTTCCTTTTGACATTTTCTCGTGAATTTGTCGTTCTGTTCGTGTTCGTTCGTTCGTCGTTCGTGCCTCGGACGCATTTTGGCGCCTTGGCGCATTCTGTCTCGTCAAAACAAAGATTGAAAAGAATAGTCGATGGACCGTTTTACCGCGCTCGTATCATGACCAGCTTGATTGTAATGATGACAAGAAGCTGAACGGGCTGCTTAATGGGTCATTTTGACACACCTCGAGCAACACTTACAAATATTACCCGCCGCCATCAGAGAGTGGTCTTAATTGTCACGGAGACGCTCATAACATTTCACTGACATCGACTACTGAAAACTTTGAATTAGTTAGATTATTTGCAATTATGAGGAAAAATGAACCATAGCAATAGCTAATTAAGAAAAAATTCGTTTCCCAATACGCATACGATTACGTAAAGGGCACTTAGTTATTCTTGAGAACATCAATTGTCAGGCATACTCGAAAGAAACCATAACTTAAGAAAAGCAACTACTTTTAATATACTCGATTATTGTCGTATAGTTATCGTGTAAAATATCGTGTAGCTACCATCATCTTAATGGATGTTTAGAAAACGTCTAATTTCGACAAGTTTTCTAGCAACTATAAAAATAATTTTTCAGCTGCAGGAAAAATAAACAGTTCTCGAATCTTTGTTAAATAAAATCCTCGTTCGCTTTATCTGACATGAGAGTCTGAGATTTCAAGTAAGACTGATGGTGCTCATGAAGAGATCAGTTATCCAGATGCCTGATTTCTGTTGGACCTATAGAATGTTAATCTTCACCTACTTCTCTACTCCTCTCTGAATCGAGTAGAAAAAAAATACTACATTGTGTTTAGTTAGTTGATTATTTGCTAGAGAAAAAATTAACGAGTACAGACGGACCTTATCAGCTACACAGTATTAGCTTCAACATTGTTTAATGTCGTCTCTACATATATAGCAAACAATAAACAATAGCAGACTTGCTATACTACAAAATATAGCCCATCACCACTATGCCTCATCAGCGAAACGAACTTTTGCCTCCTCTATATCTGCTGGTTTGCGCACGACTTCTAGTGAGGCATCGAATGCACTTTGCGCGCGGACCCAAGCCCGGAAAGAGTACAACAGAAAACGTGTGGGCATTTGAACGGCGCCCCATGTAAAGAATCAAATGCATACATGGGGCAGTCGCCGGCAACGAGCCGAAACCTCTCATGAAAGGAACAGCAGCTACGGTGTCAACAACAACAGGACTGCTTCTTATCGATTAAGCAAGAGAGTAGACCCACTGAAAATGCTGTGATAACGGTACCATTATTGATCGGTTTACATGTAGCATTGCGCTTGATCTCTGGCTTTTATGGGAGCAAAAAAAAAGCCACCCTCGTTCAGAGGCCGACGAAACGACTAAGGATAACGCCTGCAGGCCGGCAATGGCAACAATACCATCGCAACGAGCAAAAACTCCTGACGAATGTTCCTGACTTCTTCAGATCAGTAGGAAACGCTCGATTTATGCTGAAAATGTTTCCGGTCTAAGTAGACAATACTTGAGTAAAATGTGCTCCCTTCCCAGTTTACCGCCAATCAGCTATGACACAAAATGCGTATCCTCCTGCTGTTAAAAGAAAATATAGCAGAGCTCACAAATACATTGTTGGCTTTATTGTTGTCATTTTCTCTGTCGCCATCTAATAGATTGGCGTTATCTTGTTTATATTGATATTATCAGCTTCTTTAGCGTCAACAGAATCTTATACGATAGGGGTACGATAGGAGATAGGGAAGAGAAACAAAAAAAGCGCGAAGGCTTTTCAAAGACAATGTTTCTCAGAGCGCTGCCTACTTACGCACGTTTTTAGTATTTTGTTAACAATGTTTAACGTCCATATATCTACTGTGTCCGCCTCAATCACGTACCGGGCGTATTCGGATCTTTCTCACGCGTGAATTTCGCGAGATGTGCTTAACCCTCGATACGTGAACGGACTATGAGAGTGTTGTTAGCGGCAAGCCCTATCTAAGAGGTGCAGAATGCTAGATTAAGAGACGTCAATAACATCGTGCCTATGCGAAACAAGGTCGTTATCACGTTTGCTACTCTGCAAGGACAATCAGCCAGCCGCAAGAAAATCGGACGGTAGATGAATTCGGTCATGTATGGCCTTTTCTACATTCAAAGTCCCTGTTACCGCGATGTGTACTACACTCTATTTCATGCCAGGAGTTTTAATGATATGTAGATTACTCAGCTGCGGGGAAGTCCCTTGCCTGCTCGATCTACGCTATGCTACCTCAATGAACATAGCAACAGTGATTTACCCCACTGGCCTAAAACGGGTTCTGCGG